TCAGCACTCTCACTTTTAGCATACAGGCCACGTTAAATACCATTCTTTATATGAGTCTTTTATTTAAACGACGACCAGTGTGTTGGGATACTTTGAGAATACAAGAAGGCAGAAAGTACTAGCAAACATGTCAGTATCTAAAACAAGCCTGTTAGAGTGTGCAATATGTTCGTCATCGGCCTTTAGCGCTGTGCTAAAGGCTGGTAACCAATATTTTTAATCTTTAAAGGCAGCTTATGAGAGATGCTGTTGACGCAGTCTGCTTTTTATCTTCATGTTTTGTTTGTTTATATTTTTTGCACAGTAGTTGGGTGGCGCACCCATAATTTCGTTGTATATCTGTTATGATGATAAAGGGCTACTACTCCTCCTATGTAGTGGAGAGCAGTGTGTCAGATGAATCACATTCAATTTGCAAATTCTAAAAACATTTTGATAACCATTAAACCCCTGTGATTTTCCACAATGATTTGTTAATACAAAAACAAAACACGCATTTCAGCTTTTCGTGTATTTTAAATCAGGGTTGAATTTGTTGACATTCAACATAATAAGATTTAGGCATTTTTCACAGTTCATGTTTGAGGTATATTTTTCCATTTCCCCATAAAATTATTTATTTAATAAAATTCAGTAGGCTACATACAGACGAAACAAAGCACAAGATAGAAAGGAAGTATATATCCAATCGCACTAGTATCGCACTAGTATCGATCCGATACCAGTCTCAGTTTTAGTATAGATACTATCTAGTACCTCGCCTCTGTCAGTGCGCCCCAGGGTGGCTGTGGCTACAATGTAGCTTGCCATCACCAGTGTGTGAATGGGTGTGTGAATGGGTGGATGACTGGATGTGTAAAGCGCTTTGGGGTCCTTAGGGACTAGTAAAGCGCTATACAAATACAGGCCATTTACTATCGACATTTCAATCGATCGCACCGCCTCTATTGGCTACATTTTAAGCATTTCAAATAATTTCCCAGAAAATCATCATCATTAATGGCAAAATTGCAGGCTGATATGCTACATCGTTCACAGACTTAACAAATAAAAAGGCTGCTTTTGAATTACTGTTTAATTCAACTGTTGTGGTTGTTTTACTAATGTAGTTTTGTAGAATTGGGTTACTATAGGATAAATAATGCATACGGTGCTGTGCAAAAGTCTTGAACCACCCCCCATTTTTAAAAATATTTTGCTTCCAAGGAGCTATAGGCTTTCTTGTAATTTTTAAATTGGTCTTGAGGCATAGTTCTCCAGGCTTTCTGATGGTCATTCAAAGCCTTTCTTTGGACAATGGCTCCATTTCCATTCATTTTCAATGCAGTCCTTGTACCTGACCATTTTCAGAGGAATGATTTTTTATTGTCAAGGTACTTAACACCAATCTATAAATTGTTCAAACTCTGTGTTCTCTGGAATTTATCTAGCTCTGTCAGGGGATCAGTTGGCCTGAGGTATGTCACTAAATATTACATTGTAATATTTAGTCACATACTTACAAGTGCAGCGTGCAATATGATGAAATACAAACTCTAAGGCCTCCTCTTTCAGTATGCATCACATAAAGCGCCTAAATCATGAAACTGCACACCGTCTCAGTGCAGTAAACCAACATCGTGAACCTTAAAAGAGGTTTCTACACTGCTTTTTACATGCTACATAGGAATCTTTGAAAAGGGCTGGTGTTTGAATATTCTCAGTGAGAGCGCAGCATGGAGATGTCACTGAGTTTGTATGCTGACTCATCTCTGATGATGGTGGATGACCACCCACAGTCTCACTGAATGAGCTGCATGCTGCTTTCAAATCAGAGGCAAGACGGCTCCAAGACCACACGTGTACAGCTGTCACAATCTAGCAGATGAGAGCAGACTGTTTCTTGGACATGTCCACTCTTCTTGTTGAAAAGTGGTTTTTGAACATTAACATTGTGCAAGGAATGCTCTTTTTTTCATAAACGAACCCTATTGAGTTTCCAATGATCTAAAAGTAAAAAAACAGATTATCATATTCTGGGGCATAAAATACACAGTATTTGTTGCAGTATAGAAATGTTGTCAGAATGAATCCTTAACTTTCATCTGCAACTTGTAGTTTCTTTCATAGCTGATATTAATCCCAAGAAGTCTACCTAAATATCCATTTATCATTTCATGTACACTGAGCACAGTATCCATCAGCAGACCTGACAGCAGTTGAAAAAGGTCTCACAGGAGCAGTGGAGTAAGTGCTTTGTTAGAAGTTAGGAGCCAGAGACAGGAGTTCTCAGACAGACAGATTATAGTATTTGACAGTTTTAATTAAAGAGGCCTTTTAGGTTTCTATAATTGTTTCATATAAAACAATAAAAGTCTGCACTTGTGTCAGTGGCACATGGCTCTAGCTATTGCACCGCTCCACCAGCAGAGAGTGTGCATGTGCCGTGTAACCTGTTGCACATGCACAGCTGCAGTATATAAGCAGAGTGGTTTATAGCATCAGCCTGTGGGATCATTTTACAGAAGTACAAATTGATTTTTTAAAAGATAATCTCAAAGTATATTTAGGCTAGAATTACTTTAAAATAAATGGTAAAGGGGAAAAGTAATTTTGACAAATATCTTCCAGTGATGATGTAGGACGGTTTTGCTACATTCAGAATACATTTTAAATCAACACATCTTTGCCATAACACATCATTCAAAACAAATGATGTAACATTACACTCTTCGCCTCAGCTGATGGTTTTGCCTGATTCTAAGTCTATATTAAATGAAATATTATGTATTATAGGTTGCTGAGGAGGTACAGTAGCTCATCTACTAATTGGAGGTTGATGGTTTAATCCCTATCTAGGGCTATCTAGGTACTGAACCTCAAGTTGCTCTCTGATGCATTCATCTATTTGTGAATGTTAGCTATAGAAAAAGCGTTTGTGTGAAGCATGAGGCATGCTTTATGAAGCCCTTTTGAGTGCTTGAGTAGAAAAGGGCTATATAAGAACCTGTCCATTTATCATATATAAAGCAGTGTCTACAATCAATCCATCCACCTCTATCCAGTATCCTGTCCTTCTGGAGGATGAGAATGGGTAATAAACATCTAAGTTAATTGCATACTGAGGATTACCTTTCCTCTTTTCAGGAAATAAATAAATAACACGGTTGTTTCTATAATCAACCACCTCATTAAAAAGAGATAAAACACAGTTGGAACAGAATTCTGTTTTATTTATGGAGAGAAACACAGTTTGTCATTAAGACTTACATTTTGTTTGAGCCCACAGACCCAAAGAGTCTATTTTCTTATATATTAGTCTATAAAAGCAATGCTTTCTAGTCAGTGTGAATTACAATACTGCAGATCATCACAACACAAAAACTTGTTTTATATTTCCCTTTTTCACGTTGCAGACACAATGGTCTATTCAAAGGTGAGACCTACACATACTTCAGAAAGGTGACCACTGCATTTCTCAGTATTAGAAAACAACAAAGTCTGCGATTTAAAATGTTTGTGTGTTTAACCTGAGTATTACACTGTATACTGTATATGTACAGTCCTGTTTATATGCGTGTACCTGTTGTCGTGACATTTCGTACGCCAGCATTCCATATGGTCGCACAAACTGCAAGACATCAAGGGCCGAAAACTATTTGAATCAATAATCATGACAGTTATGAGAAGTGTACACATCAAAAATCACTTTGGTCTTGATTTCAGCCAACAACAGATTCTGATATAATACTGACAATATCCGTGTTAACACATTGAAAACTGTGCTAATCAAATGCAAACTGGCCTCGGATAACAACATTAATAAATTACAATTGGTGAAGAATTCAGTACTGAAAGAATCCACAATTCAACACACCTCTGCTTTGTTAACATAGAGGGTTAGTCATTAAATCAACAGCCAAGCATTCTAAGAGAATTCCAGCTTCAAATGCATCTTTCAAGACCGATAAAGATTAAACACAAATCAGAGTGAAAACTGGCACTTTATTACAGTCACTAATGATACTGCAGTCTCAGTCTTGCCAATGGTGTGGATGGTATGTGGTGACATCACTTGGCACCCAGACATCAGCCAATGATAGACTGCAGATTTTGTATCGTGCTTTTAACCATTTTTAAACTGCCAGGCCATGCACTGATTTGCGTTTGTTGTCTAGTTACCCTTTGCTTACAGTGTGTGAAAAAGAAAACCTTTGTCTTCAAAAATATAGAATACATTGCATGACAACCCGTGTGCTGAATCACAAGATTTTTTTTTCTATTTGTTTTTTTTAAACAAAGCCACCCAAGAATAACTTTGGCATATTTTATTCAGCAAAATATATCCAAAAATATTTAAATTCCCATTTAAATAGCATAAAGACATATCAGATCAGATGAAATAGATGCACACGTTTACAACACAAAATTATTTTAACAACTTAAAACAAGTTAAATACCTGTTACATTTACAGATTGCGCTGTAAAAGTGCTGTTAAAGTATTTGCCCCTTCTTGATTTTTTTTTTATATTTGTCACAGGTACATGATCAAACTAGTTTTAATATTACACAAAGATAACCCAAGTAAATACAAAATGCAGTTTTTTAAATGACTATTTAATGTACTAAGCCAAAGGCAGGTTTGGCTAGCTTTTTAAATTGAATAAACAAAATCATCATTTAAAAACTACATTAAATCACATTTGTTTGATCTGAAATGTTTAAATGTGACAAATATCCAAAATCAAAAAAAGAATTAAGAGGGCAAATACTTTTTCACAGCAGTGTACATTTAATGTAATTTTTTATTTATGTTTATATATATATATATATATGTATATATATATATATAACACTATGTACAGAGAGGACACGATGCTTACTGCTGTACACAGGGTATCTGTGCACGTTTATGTAGCACATAAATGTCCCTGTAATTTAACTACTGTACCCAGTATAAGAATAAGTACATACCAGTGGGCTACTCCCAGTGACACACAGTGTCACAAACATTATGGCATTGTTTTTTTTCCCCCTTTATTTAAACAAAACTATTTTCATATTATACATTTCATATTTTGTTACATTCAAGGTATAGATACAATTTGTATCAACAAGCAAAAGTCAATTCTAGACATTTGTAACTTAGCTGTTTGCGGCACTTAGAAAGGAAGGGAGAGGATTAAAAACCACCATTATGGTCTGTAACATTTATCCAAAGCAACAACAACAACAACAACAAAAAAGAAGAAAGATTGCTAAATACTTTCAATGTACCAAAAATAATGAAGTTTTTATTTTTATCCTGGAAGTAGTCCATTGCCAAACAAGTTTCCAGATTTAACACAAAACATAACAACAAACCCAGACCATTTGCTTTTTGGTGGATTTATGCTGTGGCCTACATCCTACATTACAGTTACTAAGTACACGCACAATTTAGCTCATGGCCAATGGACTATTCCAGTGTTCATGTTGAATATGGACCTCAATAAGGTTAAATATTTCTAAGTGAAAAAGGCAAATTACTGATCTTAATTTGGTGCTACAATTAGCAACAAAGCAAATTTTTGTTGTTGTTGTTTTGTTTTTTATTTAGAGCCGTTTCTTGTAGCATACAGCGCTTCAGTGTTTTTGCAAAGTTTTCCAAAAGTTTTTGGAGCATAGATCAATTCAGTTATTTCAAAGGGAAAGGATGGCACGCAAACTTTTAGCCAAATGCCAGAAACAACCTTGACAGCAGCCTTGCAATCTGATTGTTTCACATGAAGAAACATTTAGGCAGTTTGTTTCACCTTCTCATGAACAGACAGCTGGCCTAACGTGGCCTCGTCTTTTTTCATGAAAAACAAAGTCAGCAAAGCCCAAAAATAATTTTGGGCAAAACACATTCAGTTTTTTTTTCTTTATGTCTACATATTACGGTTCTAGCTAAACATTACAAAGAAATATATATATATGCATCTTTAAAAGCACCACCAAGGAGACAAGGTCAGGCTCACATAATTAGCCCTAGTTAAAGAGTAATACCACTCAGTTTAAAAATTTATGAACACGTCCATTGAATAAATGACAAATAGATAGCTTTGTGATAGTCTGGTGCCGCTTCATTTTCTAAAATACAAGCTAAACATTAATTTATAGCGTTTTTAATCATTTATTAACATAATGAAGGGCACGAACTATAAACTGACACCAAATGTATTTTTGTTGTTTGTTGAAACTCAATTGAATCTTTTACAAATGAGCCTTTAACCACTGTGCACTTTAATAGCAGGCCTAGGGGTTACCATTCCTGAACCCTGAAAATAAGTGGCATTTCCCTTTAAACGCGCTAGGAGCATGGTTCTGCTATATGGACTGGCTTTACATAGTACAACTTCTGCAAGTGTATTGTTTGAAGCAGAATAATACCAGGCCTGACCGCCTAGTATCAGAAGTCAGATACCAAACTTAGTACCCAACGTCATCATTTTTAGGCTTGATAAGGGCAGAAATTTTTCAAGGCCTGGTTCAACACTTTCCAATCAGCATTACTGTTACAAAAACCACGAGCAAATCAAGAAAACAACTTCTTTGAGTACTTTTTAATATTGCGACATTTGTCTTTGGCTACAGAGACACCCTTATGGAAAACAAATACCTTCTGAAGTTGCACCACCTGAATCCAGCCTGTTAGCTCGCTGTTTGAAAGCTCAAGGTGCATAAAGAGGATATTCACAAAAAGTACAAAGTTTTGCAATGCCATCTTCATGTCTCAACCATAAATAACTAACTTTAGGGTACTACATGTTACATGTAGGAATTTCACAAATATATCTATATATAACTACTAGATCAGAGTACACTTTTGCCAGTAACCGCTGGTTTTGGCAGGAAAGACTTAAAATTAGAAAAGTGAAAGCATCCTGAGAGCAGTGTGCTGCAAGGCACAGCCAAATCTTTCTACAATCCTTAGAGACCAGCTGCACGCATGTGTATTGTACATCTGTATATTAGCAGTCCAGCCTCCTATAAAAAGCCATACAGAAAATTTCATCTCCAACATGCTTTCAAGCATTCACAGAAATGTATTTAATATGTGTTCATTCAATTTTTTGTTATTTAAACCTAATACTTTACAAAATATCAGAATATTTATTTTACTACCAGGCCTAACTATTTAAGCCAGATCCTCAGAGTTATCTGATAAATAACTTCAGTCGGTATCAGAATTCCATGTGCAAACATTTAACTGTGATAGTAAACACTGTTTCCATCTCAAAGAATATACTTCTACAACTTCCAATGTCCCTACTAAAGTCACATCATAGCCAGGAGCAATGAATTCTCAGTTTTACCACATTTACATGCACATGAGAGGAAGCTGGAAGTCAGGTAATGACATAAGATTGGATGACTTATTTAGGTGCACAGGAATATTGACAAAGTAAAATGTCTCCTTTCTGCAGTTTCAATCAACTTTGCCATATTTTAAATGCATGTACATTATATAAGAAATTACTTTCTACAAGAAAATATTTCTTACAGGCGCAACTGAACTAAATGTAATGTGAGGAGATGTGCTCTTTTATAGGGGAGCATGTTTTACTGCATGCATATTTCCATCTAAAAACCTTCTTAATGTTAGAAATGCACTTGTTCAATTTAATACACTAAACCACTTCATTTAATATTAAAATCCATAGACTTTGGATATAATAACTTTAGATGCAGTAATCTTGGATTTTTGCTAGATAACTGCCACAGTGATACCACCTTCCCTGGCTTAGGTGTGTCATGCACATTAGCACTTGATGACTTAAAGTGAAGACAACAGTTTTTTTTTGTTTTTTTTATGAATCATAATTAGGTAACTGACTAAAGCTCAAATGATCACACTATCAAGGTGCATGTAAAAGTAGTTAGAAAATAAATTGACTTGCACCTGAAAACAAACTGCTCCAGCGGCAACTTGAACAAGTCCAATAGAACTACTGCGTGAAACAAAGATACTTTGAATACTTCACACTGAAAAGGATTAGCACAACAGATTTGACAATTTTATAAAGAGGAAAGTCCTGGATGTAGCATCCAATAAAATCAGACAGCGAACTATACAGTACACTATATAAATTATCCAAACACATATGCTCTTTTTATACTATAATCCAATTGATCCTGTGAACTAAAATTATTTTGAATACTGACACTATATAAATTATTTTTTTGGCATTATTTAGCAGCTTATAAATGACTTTGAAATAATGGCTTTTCTGTGATCATATGTACATGCGCACATATATACAAGTCAAATAATTTTTTTGGCTTGCTTTGTGCACTGTCAAATTCTACCAAAATAGTAGCTTTGTTAAGTGAGGCTGAGAAAATATATCTCTTTAGATACTGAGATAGTGCTTTACATTTGAAATTATGAGGCTTCAATGACAAAGACGTTCACCGAAACCAATTGGACAATGAATAAGTGTGAGGTCACTCAGATATAAGGCCATAAAATGTCATAGTTCATGCTGTGAGGTATATACCTACCTCCCTCTTACTCATCTTCAAAATAACTCCCCCCCCAAAACAACCCCAAACAAACAAACAAAAGAAAACATATCATAAATATTATTTACAGCAGAGGCAGACTGCATGGTTACTTATAGTTCCACTGCATCAGAAACACTTTAAAGGCCTTTCATAACGCATTCAAAGCACCTGAACAGGATCTTCATAAAAATGTGGGAGATAGGACCATGTAATTATTTCCCGTGCTGATATTTACCTAACTCGTTTACTTTCATTCAATTGTTCACACTGATACGCACATTCAATATTACAGAAATTAATTACAATTACATTAGGGTTCAGTTTAGTCTTAAATTATGATGGTAAGCCATCTCCAAACAGAACCCAGCAATACAATTCTAAATGAAATAAACATGTTCACCTCTGTAAAATACATGAATAAACCAGTAACTTCTGGAACTGTTTGATGGTTAAAATCAAGTTTAAAGTAATATTTCAACAGTCCAATTAGTATTTTTATGACTTCATCTCAATACAGATACATATTTTAAATACCACTCTTGCTGGCGATATCAAATAAAGAAGTAAATAAACTTCCTTAGTTTTGTTACTGTGTTTGCCAACTAATGCTAACTAGCTAGCAAGCTTGTCGATTAGCTCACAAGTGCCAATATCAAGCTGTTGATTTGAAATGAAGAAATAAATGATGGCTTTTAGTGTTTTTTTGGTCTTTAAAAGATTGCTCTCTGAATTAATCAGCCAATTTTAATTCCTATAATAAACTGTCTTCTGTGCTTACAACCTACCTAGAATGTTAGCTTGTTAGCTAAGTGGCCTTTGCAGCCTTATAGTAAAAGGAAATCTAAAAGTTCTTTATCTGTGTTGTGTGTTTCAAGGAGTTCATTTTTAATGACTTTTACAGCTAACAAGAGAACGCTGATTAAAAGGTGACAGGTGGTGTCATCTGTATATGTAAATACATATAATGAGTTTAGATTTCATTATTTCTTATTTTACTTTATTTCACACATTACTTTATTTATATATTTTACAAAATGGATTGAATATTTCATATTGTTTTCAGCCTCTACAACTTTGTACAACATGTAACATCATTTAAATACAGCAGTATTATGTTCCACATTAAGGGACACCGTACAGTACTGCCAAAGGTTAACGACAATACAGGAATTACCTTTCATGTTAAACAGACGCTGCTTCCCTGTTCCTGCTCAGGTAGTATGAATACGTTATGAACCAGATTTCTAATAAGGTGTTGGCTTGTATCAGCTACACCCCACTTCATACAAAAATGTCCTCTATCCTACCAGAAACATTTAAAAACAACTAACTCCTGAGGGCAGACGTTGCACATGGAGCAACATTTAACATGTGCCTATCTTTTCAAAGAAATCCTCATTTCTCGTGTTAAATCCATTTTGAAGGCTTCATACAATTAACTGTTCAGTGGCATGACCTCAGTTTTGTAACAATGACAGCGGCAAGTTGTTGCGGGTCTGTCAAATGAGGGTTCTTCTCCATTACAGCGTGGACTATGTAAGCAGGAAAGATGTTACAAAGGTTCCTGTATGTTTGATACTGGTGGTCTGGGATAGCATACCGCTCTTGGTGTTCAGCTCCAGATGGGGCCTCCCATGGCGAGTTCCAGATTTGTTCCATTTTGTCTGGCATGCTGCGGACCATCACCCGCTCACAACATGGCATCAAGCTGTTACTCAGTGGATATGAATGATATTCATAGGACTCATTACCACAAGGGAGAGGGTCCCAGCTTGCATGCTGCTCACGGCACAGTGGAGGTCGCCTCTGTCTCATTGGGTTGCTATCATATAGCCTCGAATCCGATATGCTGTCCATACGAGTCATACCTAGCGAGCGTGTGGGTTGTGAGGACAAAGGTGGGAGAACATTCTGAGTTAGGGGATAATCTCCAGGACAGCTGGACCTGGCTCCCACTGCAACATGCTGGATATGTGGTGCTAGATGAGGCCCAGCCTGCTTACGTAGGCCTTGCTTGGGTTCCTCTGGTCCGTAACTCTGTACCCTAGTCAGCGCTTCATGACGAAACCCGTGGGAGAATGCTTGCATCCTAGTCTGTGCGGGAGACTGCTGCTGCCCCTTCATACTCTCCTCTAAGCTACTGTCCACAGAGCTTGGGTACAGGTCCCCATAAGACGAGAACGAGTCACTGTTTGAATGGCTGAGGCAGGATTCAGGGCAGTGGCTGGGGTTTCTCTGATACACATGCTCGTGCTCCATGCTACAGAAACTGTCAACATTATGCATGCTGCTCATGCTCATATTTGAAAAATCACTGTGCAGTGAATAATAGCCATGGTCACTAACTGAGTCATACTTTGGGAACTGTTCACTATATGTTACAGAGGCGCCATGACTATTAGTAACTAAAATAGGAGGGTACTGTACACTAGACATGTGCTCCAGAGAACTGTGAGAGAACTGCAAAGAACCTGGCACTGGGCTGCTGGCTGATCGTGTGTTCAAGGCACCAGCTGCGTGACTCTTGGCTGGCTGCATTGTGGGAACACTGAGAGCAGACACGAGGGAAGGCACTGAATTTGTCTCAGACTTCCTAATGGCGGACAGTGCCTCTGGAGGTTCGCAGGCCACTGAACGAATGCTGGGGTCAGACTGACGTTTGGGTGCCACGCGTTTGGCCTCAGAGTTGCTGTCCCCCTTTACTGTTGCTGGACCAGTCCCACATTTAGCTAAAGCCCCTTCACTCATAGTTTTCACTGCAGACAATTTGGCAAAAGCCCGTAGTTCATCAGCCACGGAGCGCTGTGGCTGGTTGACACGCTCTGGGTGATAGTACTTGCACTTGTGTCCATATGTGCATTTTTTCCCTTGTACAAAGAAATGGAAGATTAAGTTAAGAAAATCAAACACATTGAATATCCAGACAGATTAGCAGTATTTTGAAGAAAGAACCTACCATAGGGGCAAGGTTGTTTTTTGTGCTCTGGAACAACGGGGCGTTTGCGCAGGAAATTTTCTAAACTTGGTCCATGTCTTCCCAATGGATCATCAGGTGGCATAAACCTAATAGCAAAAATATTTATTATTAAATGCAAAACTGTCTACCACAGAATAGAATTCAAAAACTCCTATTGTCTACTATAGATCACAATATAAAAATGCAACAGTTCATGCAACATATATAGTGTTTATTTTGTTGATTTATTTACATAAAACAACCCCGACACGTTTCTAAAAGACACTTTATTTGTATAGTGTAAAGTGGTATTCATGAAAGCATTTTACATAGTATAGCTATGCCATAAAATGACAGTAACAGTTTCTTACTTGTCATTGACAAATGAGTACATTAGGAGTCGCTCTTCTATAAATTTCTTCCATTCTGGCTTCTCATTTTGCAAGTCTCTGTAGTTGTCATTTGACACAATAATTCCATCAGAATCATAAGCCAGCTTCACTATGAAGCGATCATCATAGCACACCACTCTCCTGCCTTGAACTCTCCGAGACGGGGTGAAAACCAAGATCTTCTCTTTCTCCAGCTTGCGTAAGATTTCTTGATCTGAAAGAGGAATACTGAGTGAGTTTATGTGTATCAGTTTGGTAACAGTTTATTATAATAAACAGGTGCAAGTTAAAAGGCTGCTCTTTAAATAGCACCAGTGTTATGATGTAAGGTGAATGCACAGTCACCTGCGATGAGGGCATCGGGTCTTGACTGCTCCTTTCTCCAGGCTGGAACAAACACAGTGATGTCTTTGTGTCCTTTCTCCAGAAACCATTCAACAGCAAGCTGGATGCCACGACAAGAGAACACCTCTTTGTTCCCGTGGCTATCAAAACAGAACAGTATTAGGTTTAGTTAACTTCATGGAACAGCTGACTATTAAAGGAAAATACTTCAGGACAATAAGTTTATTCTGCACAGAGCACAGACCAGTTCAATGTGAGTCTAAGTCTCTGTGTCCCTCACCTCATTGCCACATTTGAGCCATCGATGACGATAGGCCTGAGGTTATCAAAACTATCCACAGATTCCTCTTCCACTGACACTTCGGGACTAACAGTCTCTTTAACACAGGGGGGGCGTGATATTGACGTGGCTGTACTGCTGCTGCAAGACTGGTTTTCAGGCTCTGCTTTGTTTCCGAGCCGTACTAACTCGGCAAGAACATCGTTAATAAGCGCAGCAGACCCTAACTTGTGGAGCACAGTTTCAACCTGCTCTCCTGAATAGCCCAACTTCAAAGCAAATTCCATCTTAGTCTGGTACTCTCGCTCACTGGCGGGCTTAGCCCCTGGTACTGAGTTGGTCTCATCCTCACGAAAGTCTTGCACAGTGCTACTCTGGGAAAAACTGGGCCGATCAAGGCATGGGGAGCGACAGAGCTGTCGGTGGGGTTTTGTTACAGCCAGTGGCTCCCTTCTCTTACAGCTACTGCTGTTCACCTGAACCCTCCGATGTTGCTGCTCTTCCGATTCGCTATCTGAGCTGCTTCCATCCTCAGACTCGTCAGTGGCATGCTGCGCCTCGCTTGAGTCAATGTTCTCCTCCCTGCACGGGCGTTTTTCCATTTTGAGCTTCTCCACCATGGACCATGCTGTCATCACGTTTGTCTTGACACCCCAAATTTCCACTCCATGCTTCCTCACCTCCACCACAACCAGCTAACCATGCTAAGGGATGGACTTTTAGCACTGCAGGCTTCTCCTCCAGGCCAAAGGGTTATGGCCTCTACTGTGTGAGCAGGTAAAATCAAATTATGTAATCCTGCAAGAAAGCAACAAAAATAAGAGTCAATATGTCTCTTTCATCAATCATTTTTTTTCCTGAGCACCTAATCTGAAGTTAGACCAAAAAAAGACACTGAGGGAAGATACCAGAATGAATCTAACAACGATATAGTAAGTTTGGCCCCTCCTTTCCTAAAATGGGGGTTTTTGTGTGGCAACTATGGCTGGTCCACATTTGAAGACAAGGTTATTATATCTTATTTGACGAATATATATGCATTTCTGTTGTTTGTGACAATTTATAAATAGAAATCATGAGTTGTTAAAAGGGAGTTTTCCTTCCCGCTGTTGCCAAGTGCTTGGTCAAAGAGGGTTGTTTGATTGTTGGGTTTTATCTTTATTATTGTAAGGTCTTTACCTTACACTATAAGTGCCTCAAAGCGACTGTGCTCATATGAAAATGCCCATTTCAGGGCTTTAGAACAGGAGTTTGTAAACCAATGAGTGATGTCAATCTTTAGTACAATCTGTGGTATGGAAACAGGACCACTGGATTGCATGGCAGATTAGGAGGGTCCCATATCAGATATTTGCTTTTGGTTCCAGGATGGTCCAGCGTAATACTAACTTAGAAGGGATGACAGATTTTCAGTTGTAAGTACAGTAGGTGCTCCCAGCTTTCTTTTATACATAGTAAAGGTAATGTTGAAAGGTAAAGTAAGTACTTGAGATTATTTAATAGAAAACACTAAGAATACTAAACTCAGAAATATATATCAAATTAGTCTATAATTACGTCTTCTAACAAATTCCAATAAAACCTGGGAAAACACTTTTGAGTCCCAGTCTTCTGCCCCTACTTGTGGTAGACCAGTAAGTTCTCCAGCAGCAAGAAACAATAGCATCTGCAGTAAGTGACTGAATTATTCAGGCAAATGGAGCACAATAATCACACATGCTGACTGGTCTGCCTGACACTGCTACATGAGACACTGGATTCGTAATTAGCAAATAACTGCCATGGGTGGGTTTTCCCCTTAATTATGATGCTGGGGTCCACAACTGCAATGTTTTTACTCTTTACCCTTTCAAAGCCTACTAGGAGTAACCCTTGAAGCCCTTTCTGTCACATTTCAGGCCTGCTTATAGAACAAAATGACTCAGTATCAGAATTTAATGATGAAGTCAGAGATCACACTAAGTGTACTGGGGAGATCTTCATATATCATCTTTATGGGGTGAAAGAGTTAAAGCAGCGCTTGTTTTTGGTAGCCGTCAGGCATGGTTACTCATTGACATATGGAGGAACATACTGAACTTTTCCTACTTCCCTCCAACAAAAAAAAAAAATCATTTTATTTTCACTTGCAATATCCCCAAACTATACTTGACTATAAAATTATAACTACAAAACTATGCTTTATTGCATTTTAAATGAAAAGTAACATGTCACACATACAGACCACTAATTCATAAAAATCTGACAACCAATTATGTATCTTAAGCAGTAATTACAAACTACAGCAAAGCACCTGGCAAGGTGTTGCATTTATAAACTAAAATTACCAATAAACCTAAACAGATTTGTGTATATTTCTTTGCTTATTTTCATGTAGCATACAGATACAACAATCTCAATTTTTGGACAAACAAAAGCCAAAGATACAAACATTAAAGTGTCACTGATCTCTTGCCTAGTGCATAGTCCTTCTAGTTTTCTGGTTTTAAAATGAAAATCACAGCATTCTGGTAAAAAAAAAAAAAAAAAAACCCCCCCCCCCCCCCCCCCCCCCCCAAAAAAAACAAAAAACAAAACAACAACATACAAATCACACAGGTATTTAAAATAAACACCATATTTTAACTTCATAGCAACATTGAAGCCAGACATACATGGGGTGTAAGTACACGAGTTAACATAACCTGAGACAAAGTGTGGGCTGAACAGTGTAAGCCTGCACCACTAATCCCCTGACAATCAATCTGAATTGAGGAGAATTCCACAGGGAGCAAAGCTGTTTTATGGTAAAGCACTGCGGGGATTTTGGGGTGCTCGGAGTCTAAACCACAACACGCTGCCAACGGCTCAGAGTGCACATTGTTTTTACACATGTATATTGATAATCAAATAAAGTCCATGGTAAGCACTCTACTGAACACACACACACAATACTACACTTTCCCCCCAGTCTTGCAGAGACAGTACAGCCAGCTTCGAGCTTCAAGAGGCACAGCCCATGATGTGAGTTGCTTAGCAACACAGCCTTGTCATCAGCTAACTCCTTTTTACCAGTCACGACTAACACAAACACAGCTCATCATCTCTCTTCACGCAGCCAGTAAATGCAGAACACCACAGCTGCGATACAACTCTACATCAAAACTCATGAAGCAGTGATTTAAAAATTTTAAAACTGACATTTAGACCTTTGTTTGGGGTGAGCATTATAAAAGGAAAAGCCAGTCTTGGCATTGTGAAAATTGACTGAATCATTTGTCTGACTCTAAGCACTGGCTCATGTATTAATACTCCGTCACTGTATTGGCAAAACACTGCACAGGCACTGACATTCATGGGAGCCACTTTGAAGGTCAATCTATGGCTAAACAAGCATACCTTGTGATGTCAGTGTTTTGTGTAGGCTTACTGCATCAATAGAGCCTAGTCTCATTCCTCATCACTACTTGTGTAAGGACAGAGAACAAACCATGGTTTGAATATCTAAGCACGCAGCTGAAAGAAGGACGAAGGAGAGGGCGATGAGGCACTGTTGTGGAACTTCTAGGATTAGTGGCAGACACAGTACAAAGGCTCACACAACCCACTGTCATTTACAACATTTTATGAGCACATGAATACGTGTTTAAAAAGAGCTAGAGCTCTTTCAATCCTTTCCCTTCCACCTCCAGATTCACAGGCTTAGTCTCAGCAAGACCTCCAGACTATCCCTGCACACACACAGGCTCATGCAGATCTGTTTCATAGCAACAAGTGAGGCAGGCCCGTGAAGCCATCTTTCGTGAAGCTGACCCAACATTAGTATCCAGAACAAACCAGGAATAAACTGCAGTACACAGCAAGCTGGTGTTACATTTAATGCTTGTGTTGTTATACATCTTGAAATCAAGGCTGACACCTTAAACCACCAGCTAAATCACCAGTGTGATAAAGAAAATAAATTTAAAATTGTTACTTTGGTACACTTTTCCATTACTTTACATAGAACTAAGAAAACATTACATCTTTCAATCCTTGTTCTCATATTTTGTGGTTTTGCTAAACACAAAATGTAAATACATAATCAGCACGGCCAGTTTCCAGTACTCTGTGTAAACATACTCCATCACCCCAAAACTGGAATAGGAAGATGCTCTACATCTGTGGCTCACCAATTAAAGTATCAAAAAGTCAATAGAAGACAAGAAGACAACATGTGCATATTATTTGTACTAGCATAAGGTTGCGTAACAATGATCTGGAACTGTATTGGAAATAACTTCATTTAGATTTTTTTTTTTTAACTTGGATATGATTCAATATAAGAAGGAAATAAAATGTCATCCAGGGAAACCAGTGAAGAAAGATAAAATGTCATTTCCTCATTGACCCTGATCAGTGTTTCAGACATCTGATGTATAACAGGAAGAATTAATGCTGGTTGGCACTATATTTCCACAAGCTCTAACAGCAGTTTTCACTGCAAAAAAAGAAGGAAAAATACAACAAAACAAACTTTAAATTAAATTTTAAAATGTTAATTTCTTCATCATATGGCCTAATCATCAACTTTCATCAAGTTTTCAGCAGTTATCTTAGTGGATTCCTGTCACTTACAGTTGCAGTTATAATCCATGGTAAGCAGGAAGGAAGGTGTTTCTTCCAAGTATCATTGTTATTTATAGATTGCTGTGCTTAAAGACACAAGGGTGTTTCTGCTTTGTGCAATCATTAAACAAAACTGAATTATAACAAATTATAGTGATACAAACAAAAGTATAAATCATGAAAATATGTTTAGGTCTTTAAGGCATGATCCCTCTTCCCAGCAAGTTAAATTTTGTATATTATTAACCACTTAAGGTCCAACCAACTTTGGTCTGCTGACAGAATTTTTTCTTAACCAGTTTAGCTGTTTTTTAAATGTTTTTTTTACAATTCAATTCAATTCAATTTTATTTATATAGCGCCAAATCAGACTTTTACAGAATTTTACAGACTCCTCTATTTAATCCTGTGTTTCATGAACGCATCCAAACACAAACACACATTAAGTTGGACAGAGACAGCAGACAAAATTACATGTGATGACTGAAGTCCATTTTCAGATTGAGCAAGTTTTTGCCTCTACAGGAAACAAACTACATGACTTGTAACTAAGGTTAAAATGGAACATGAATCCTAGTGACCCTCCTGAACTGCTAAATGAACTTTGGTGGGCTGTGTTATTGCAATGATTCTGCTAACAAGCTGACACGTCAATACAAAAACCTCAAGTGCTTGATATCTTTAGCAACAGCATCATGAGTTCAGAGGGATGAAAGGAAGGTTAAACAACATGTCATTATAAGACAGTTTGTACTTACAACGCATTCTTTACAATAGCGCTGTAACATGACCACTGCACAAGACGTCGTCTTTGAAAGTCAGTTTGATTCAAGAGAACTGCTTTGACACCCTTAGGCCCCGGACTGTGGTTAGCATACGCTAGCAAGGCAGTCTACTCAGACAACTGGAGTCAACATTTTCGCTACATAAAAACAACAGCTTGACAGGGTTTGTCCTATTCGTCAATGGCTTGAGAACGGCCGAAAACGCCTATTGCAAGCTACAAGTTAACCAACAACCTTGTCAATGAAGCCAGGTCTCTTATTTGGTTAACGGTAGCAACGCTAGGTAACGCGACTGAGCTAACATAAAGCCATCTCAGAGGCATCACAGGCTAATATGCTAACGTGAGTTAGCTTCAGTTGCTGAGCGTGTGCTAACATTTTTGCCGGAATACTATAGTAACTTAAGCTAAAGTTGACGCTCATTTAACATTTCAGATGTAACTAAAACAAAACCAATACGTTACGATGCCTTACATATTCTGCACGTATATCACCGCCATCGCTGAATTCAAACGATGCTCATCTCACCTTGTTGCTGTCATCCTCCTCGCCTGTAACAGTTATGTTTTGCTGCCATTGGCGCTGTCGCAGTTTGGTCAGGGTTGCCAGATAAGGCGAAGGAAACAAGTAACCTTAACTGTGAAAAGCCACCAGGGTCAAAACAGCCGATTTCTTCCTCCTGCTCTCTCAGCATGCGTTTTTATCAAACATTCACGATGCTTTTTTTTCCTGGTCGCGTGTAGTGATAGTTTGAGAACTGTCGTTTTTCCAAAGCAAAAACACAAAAGCACACTTGTTTTCGTTGCCTTCTGAAAAACATTCTATGACGAGAAGCTCTTTATTATAAACCCCGATCAAGGTGTTATTTCTTATAAGAAGTGCAATGTAGTCCAACTGCCCTGTTTTTGTTGCATTGAGTGACTTACTATTGTGATGTACTTTCAATATATACAGTAGCGTGTCAAAACTCTTAAGTCACCCTTTTCTTTATTTGTTGCTAGGATAATGGGAATTGAGTGTAGAAATGTACTTAAACATGTGCAAACATAATTGGAAATATACAACAGGGCAAATACTGAGGTTCCGGTTTTGGGAAGGCCAATCAATGAGCTATATAGTTGTTTTGTTTTGAATCATCCAGGTATGCTTTTACTGTATTGGAAGTGTGTTTGGGATCATTGTCATGCTAAAAATGAATCTGTTGCCAATTAGTCACTTTCCAGATGGAATTGCAGGTGGATCAAAATCTGACTGTACTTCTCTTTGTTCTTAATTTGACAATACCTCCAACACCACTATTTGAAATGCAGTTCCAAACCACAACACAGCCTCCAGAGTGTTTTACAGATTGCTGTAGATACCCACGGTTGTACCCCTCTCCTGACCAGATGCATCAGTCAGGTCCTGTGTCGGGTTCCATGCTGGACTTTTTCCCTACTTCTTAAGGACATGATATTCAGGCACTGTCCATCTGCAGTAGATCATGTTTAAGGCCTACCACTTATTCTTTTGTCCTCCACCTGTTCTGTTTTAAAATCTTGTAAGGACACAGAAGAGTGCAAGAAAACAAGAGGAGTGAAAATGGAAAACGTTTTGGCTTCTTTATTTTTTACGTAAGGCAGTGTTTCCATTTCAATAAGTAACAGATTTTCAAGAGAAATTTCCCACTGTAACATGAATTGAATGTAACTGTAAAACTATTACAAAAAAAAAAAAAAGGAATTTGCAATAATCCAGATTACATGTTACAGTGTACAAATAGCTTAGAATATAAATACAAATTCTCTGACATTTCTTTTAATATTACTGTTAAAAAAAAAAATCTATGACAATCATCTGACAATTTAACCTCTGACTGAACAAACAGTAATGCACAACAAACTGATACATGGACAAAATAGCAGTTTATATTAAAAAGAAAAATAAAAAACAAAAACTAAGCCATTTGTTCATTCTGCAAGCTTACAGTAGCACAAATATGGAGTGCAACATTTTAGTAAGAATTCTGCACTTCACAGGTGGTCAAGCTGTTGCAAAATAAGCCAAAAACAAAACAACACACACACAAAAAAACTAAACAGAAAAAAAGGCCAGATTGGATTGTCAGTCTACAAACAAACATTAAGCTTGTGGCTGATAGTAGCTTTTTCCCTTTAATTTTGTTGCCTCTAACCATTTTTTTTAAACATATTTAACTTCTTAGCTGTTTCTACACGCACTACTGCAGAACATTTTCACAAACAGGGTATCTGCATGTAAAATGTGCTATACAAATAATGTAGCTTTGCTCTGCAAAGCTATCTACAGTATGTAAAGCAAATAGCAGCTGAAGCATGAACTATGACTGTCTGTACATTTCTAATACCTGCTCATCTTGTTCTGGATCTGGTAAGAATTACCTGCATTTTGAGATTAAGATAAAAATAGAAACAGCTTAATGTGATTCATATATACCCCATGGAGGTGCTTCTCTCTAACACTTCTTTTTGTCTTTTCCTTAAACCAGTATGGCAAAAAAATAGCATAGAGGGACTAACATAACCCTCATGAGAGCAATAGGCTGTGGAAAAGCAAGAAAAGGAAATACAAACATAAGCTGGCATTAAAAGCATAAGCATTCATGTGTTTAGAGGCAACTGGCAAAGTAAGCAGGACTTGGTCAGCCTGGACACCAGGCTAATGAATACCCACTAAAACGAAGTATGACATTATTGTTGAGGCCTGGATGCAGAGGCTACACGTGGGCATGAACATTCTAGTGAAATTCAATAGCTTAATGAGATGATTCGATACAAATGCAAATGAAACAATTACTCCCTTAAATGCCTTTGATGGACTACCATATATGTAACCAGTTTGACATAACCTACTGTTCACTGTGCAAATGCAGAAAATTCAGAAAAATCTGAATAAAGTCAGAAAAATCTGACTTCCGAGCATTGTGCTAATGATGTCACCCACTCCCAAACTTCATTCCACTTCCATTCTATCACAGTGTCAACAACCTTTCAATGGAAGCAGCTGTGCAAATAAAAATTGAACAACCATTCCTCTATTGGTTGACCATAAAAACACTCGCTGGCAAATATACATGTTATAATATCTGTATGACTAAAAAAAATTGAGAGCCTTCCACTTCAAGGTTGCCTCAGGAAGATTGTTGCAGGCTACAGGTCACACTACATCCCTCGGTGTTCTTGTTTCACTGATGGTGGACATTTCATCCTTAGACACACATGTGCTCAGAGGACTCCCAGTATGAGACATTGCAACCTGGTGACTTTTACCACACTGATTATAGGATTGCAAATTAGTGGCAGTCTGACAAAAAACGTTGTCATCAATATCATCGGCTGCGTCCTCCATCATTCCAGAATAAACAAAAGTGCTATGAGGTAAACAGGACTCTAACTGCAAAGGAGGGTGGCACTGTCTATTGTAAAGCTCAGTGTTCGGTGAAAGTAAATCACAGGAGATGCTGTCCAACATATTAGAGCAAAGACGCTGGGATTCACTGCTGGATGTGACAGAGAATATATTGTGTTTATGTACTTGGGTTTGACTGAGACTCTGCATCTTTTCACTGATTTCCCCATCTGTCAGAGGAAGGCTCAAAGCCATTTCTGACCTCGTTTGCCACGATAAGGCCATAGTGTTGCTGCTGTGTCGAACTTCTGATGCAGACACGACTACATTCTTCTTGTAATATGGTGAGGCATCTCTCTCCAAGTCCTCTTCTGTCTGAGGACAGGAAACGATAGCATCTCTGTTCTCTCTGTATGTGTCAGGCATCTTCAACTCAAGGCTTTCTGTGTCCAGAGACCTACTTCTCCTCTCTAGAGACAATGGGTTAGGCATGGACTGACTGACTCTTGTAAGGCCGAGGTGCCGTGGGAGACTGGCAACCGCCCATGTATTACTGATCATGTTCTGTTCATATAGGTCTAACATCTGATAGTCACATTCAGCAAATGCATCCTTTTGTAGATAGCTTTCCTCAAATTCCTGATAGGGCGATGAAATGTCCTCCTCCAGTTCCATGTGAATCTGCTCATCATATTCACCTTCATTATGCATATCCACTACATCAAACGTGACTATGGTAGGCAAGGCCTCCACATTTGGAGTGATGGCAGAATTTGTCTCCAAGTCATCCACATTGTCGTGCAAGTTGTTCAACATTTGAGTGTGTTTTGTGAAGTCCACGAGTGCCTGCGAAAAACACACAGTTTGCCCATCGTCCATGTCGTTGTTAGAATCTTCAGACGGAGAAGTGATATTTCGGTACGGTAAAGCCACAGGCTTGTTTTCCTCGAGATGTTCCTCTTTGGGTTCACAAAACGTTTCAAAGTCTGGGTCAGACATGCTTTGGAATGATAAGCTGCTATGCCTTTTCTCGGTGTCAGCATTTATGGATTTGGCTCTTTTTTCGCTGGAAGCAAGCATATCTTCTTTTTGATCATATATATGCAGCTCTATATGATCTACTCTGACTGAAGCTTGAGCTTTTGAGTTCAAGTTACAGTTTTTATTCATAGCAATTTCTGGCCGACAAACCACGCTGTGTGCTAACTCCAAGGAGTTACTGCATGTGCTGGGCATCTCCAGAAAATCATGAACTTTATATAATTCTGCACTTATTTGTAATTTGTTCATTTCTGGGACAAAGGCTGAATCTGTAACATCAGCTGGTTGACTTGAATAGTCACCCTGTTTTGAAATGGGAAGTTTGGATTTGCTTTCATAACGTGGGCTCACGAGACTTTCGTCAGGCGCAAAAAGTTCATAAAGGGCATCGCCGCTGTAACTGTCCCTGGGTAGCCTTTCTGTTTGAAATCTGTCCGTTTTTTCTCGTCCTTCCTCTGGCCCTGGTGTAGTTGAATCGTAGTAGCCCTCATCACTATTTGGAACTGACTCCTGATGCTCACTTTGAGGAGTTAATACATCAGCAATTGAGGAGGAGTCCATGCCACCGGCTTGCTGTCCGCTGCTACTATTCAGCAAGTCCATATTGTGGGATGTTGTCAGCTCAGCAGTCACGTCTGTGTGGTCTTGATTGCAACTGTAGCAGACCTCCTTTGAACTATTGTTCCCCCAGAAATCCTGAAGACAAGTTTCATCCAAATTCTCAGGTGAGGCCATTTCTTCGCCGCCTCCCTGGTAAGTAAGATAACAAGAAGCCCTCTTTCCTCCATTTCTGCTCCTCTCTCCAGAGACTGTACTCTCTGTGATGCTGTCGTCTTCTTGATCTGCAATGATGTCCCCGCAGCCAGTGAGGGAGTCGAAGCTTTTCAATGACGCGACATCCCCAAAAATCATGTCCAGTTGATCTGTCGAGCCAGCCGGTGTTTCGGACGTCTCCGACATCATCTGAAGTTTCAGACAGGGCTCGCTATGTCCTCTAGCTGGCTCCTCATACTCACTGGAGACTACGGCTATCAAATTCATTTCCTCCAGCTGATCATCACTCACCTGCTCGTCAACCTCTGACTTTGGGCTTTCTTTCTCCAGACTCCTCTCTAACACTGACTGCACATCGGCCTCATTATGTTCAGGACCAATGGAAATATCACTTGTGACGTCTACAAAATCAGGCACATTGGGTTCAGATCCCAGGCACTCTGTGACAAACTGGCTGATGTCCCGGACAACAGGCACCTCTTTCTTGCAGTGAGGAGAGGACATTGCAATCACTTCAGTTTTAGCCAATCCATCATTTCTGTGATTTCTGTGATGCTTAAAACTGTGAAAAAGACTCCTCAAACCCTTTTTTTGCCGACCAAGAGTCAGTGATTTCTGCTCAGCAGCAGGATGACTACATTCATTGCTACAGCTACTGTGGAGCTCTCCCACAGTGTCCCTCTGGCTGTGGTACTCAAAATCTCCAGCTGAGGCATACCCGCTTCTTAGACCATCATCCTGACTGACTTTGCACAGCCCGTCATGGGTTTTGCTTTTGCTGATTCCTTTCTTAGAGGACCACTTGTTCTGATTTTTGCTCCTTCCTCCAAAAAAGCTTGGTAGAATACAGATACTTTTACGAACTCCGAAAAATGTCAAGGCAGTCCTCCTGAATTTTCCAGATTTTTGAGATTTCACTGTTGCATTCATGGTGTCTGGCTGAAGCTCTCCCGCGACATCATCTGGGTAACATCTTGAAGGCTGTTCGGAGACTGATGGTAAATTCCTGGTATCACTTGGTGGCTCATCAACACTGCGAGAAGCCATGGCTAGCACAGTTACAGGAGCACAAGTTTAATAAAAGGCACAATAGCTGAAGTTTAGAAAGCAGCAGATGGGATGACTGCTGTGAACTCCTCCATCTGATGAGTCCTGTATTGCAAAAATTGAGACAACAATCAATACCCCAACACTGACATTTAAACATTTATCAAGGTCTCTACTGCCTAAAACTGTATGCCTATCCTGATTTCAATTTTTTTTTTTAAATTTATTTATTTTTATTTATTCTTTTACATTTTTGGGTTTGCAGTGCATTCCCCTTACCATTTAATTGCAACTTTAACTCTGTAAACAGTGTTCAGGTAGGACAAAGGGGGTGGGGGGTGGGGGGTGGGAGTGGGGGTGGGGGGGTAGGGTTGGGATGTGTGCAAGAGCTGCAGAGAAAACCACATAAAAATGCAATGTATCTATGCCCCAGAGGGTTTTCTTTTTGAGATTGTGAACATTTCCTTCCTCTGAAGCAGACAGTGTGGTAGAGAGCTACAGTGGACCCATTGTATCAATTCAAGTCACTTGGAATCCTCATCACTAAACTGTTATCTACACGCTTTAACTATCAAGGGAACATCCTCCCATCTTCAACCACTGCTGAGCTACATGAAAGTGGAAAGAAAATGCACTTCCACCAAAAGTACTAAGTGGAGGGTTAGCAAATAGAGTAAAATAAATCTTAAACACATAGAGCCATGTTGAATTTAACAGTAGCATTTATGGGTTTTATTACAGTACAGGGGCAGTCCTTTACAGTTCAAGGAATGCATTACCTCTTTGCAGTTTGTGATTTTAGTCTTTTACACTTAATCCTGTTTTGTTAGTGTTAAATATCTGTGCTGTTATTGGCTAACTGATTTATTTTTCTCAATTTAATCTTGTTAGTTGTTAAATAATATATAAGTAGGGGACTCCCTCTAAATCTAAAGATGTACAATCTTTAAAACAGAAAGTTTTAACAGGAGTCTATGTAATATTACAAAAGAAAAAAAACAAACAAACTCAATACATCCTTATCACTTCCATGAGAATCAGCCAGGTGTTGCTAATCAAATGCACTTGAATAATAATGCACATACATACACACACACACACACACACACACACACACACGTATATATCATCACAAACATCTCATAGTAACGTGTTAGAGGGGTGATCATTTGGTCTTGTTTGCAGCCACAGGACCTAAACTCCTCTGTTTACCAAAGTATTCTAGAGGTTAAAATTTAAAGCTTGGTAAAGCTTAGTTGGGGCTGGTCGTGCAAAAAAAATTTAATTAAATACATTTAAAAAATCCCAAGCACAGCAATGCATCTACAACATAAAGACTGTGGAAGAAAAACAAAAAAATATCTACATGTTACAATGGTCCAGTCTAGACCTTAATTTGACTCAAATGCTGTAAAGCTCAAGAGAGTAGCAAAATGAAAGAAGGCAAAAAGAAGAGTGGAACAACATTTCTTGTGTTTCAATGATATGAGACATCGATGAAGTCATACAGAAAACCATTACTTAGTTACTCTTGCTAAAGCTCCCTCTCTGTCTCTTACAGTCTTCAGGTGCTCAATAAATAAATAAATACACACATATTTATTCATTGTGGCGGGCCTTCGACTAGGGTTGCATTTAAGATGTATCCCACCAAGAAAATTGTTTCTTTCTACTTATGTTAAAAATAACATTTCTGTTTGAGAGGGAAAAACAACTGATGAATTCAGCCTTATATTAATTATATATGAACTTTCGTGAATGAAAAAGACAGATATAATTTAAAAGAAAACTGAGCTAAAACTATGTCAGCTTACTCTGAGTCAGAGTTGGCGTAAGAAAAAAAGCTAAACGCTACAGATGTGACTTTTCTGCAGCTGTGCGGTTGCCATGCCACAATAAACACTAGCGGCGAACGCTGGATCAAAGATTTTTTTATTTATTTTTTTTAAAGAAAGGTTAAAAAACACTTCAAATGGTAGCATTTGCAATGAAAAACGCCAGCGACTACACATAGCCTAAACCTATTTGTAGCTGCTGTAAATATAGACCTTGGCTTCCATATCAACTAAACTAACGACAACGTTAGCCAAGTAACATAATAGTGGTTGGTGAGTCATGAAGTAAACAAACTTACCAGCTAAAGCCACATTCTGCCGTTGTTGGCTCTTTGACCAAGAGACGAAGTTAGCTCTCAGTGCATCGTTTCTGCTAACGCTAAGTTGGCTTGAACTTTGAGAAACAGCAGCCTGCTTGTGGTCGACGGTGGCCCCAGAGTAGCTTTAACCAGATATAGTTTCATCTATTTCCAGGTACCGTTAGCTAGTTGGGGGTGCTCTGCTAGCAGCGTTAACCGCACTCACCAGTGTGTCCTCACCAGTTTGTGATAATATGACTCACTAGTTGCTAGCGGTAGTAACGTTAAACCACACGGCAGCAGCAGTGTACTGGAAATACACGCAGAGCAGCCGACCCGGGATGAGATTACCGTGTTAGCCGCATGCTGCATTCACTTAAGGTGTTCGGCCCTTCAAAGAAAACAAACTGCATTTAAATCCTGGATGATGACTTCCTCTCTCGACTTGTTGGGTAATTTTCCCAAATCTCCTTTTCACAAGTCTCTTCGGCGCATATTAGTGACGACACACGTGTGTATCGCAGGGCGTAGTAAACTCGATGAGTAAAATCTACACGTATTTCTCAAATGAAATCGTTGCACATTTCATTAAAAATAAATTCCACATTTTTATTTTTGTAATGAAATATACGATAGCAAAGCTGTGATTCGATATTTGCATCTTCAAAATACACATTTGTTTATAACTGTATTTATATTATAATATGTGTCTCTATCTCTAAATCTATATCTAACTTTGCATACAGTTTGGTTATAATGTATTTTTTGAAAGAGCGTGAAAGAGCAGCTGAAATAGAACAGTGGTCTCATTTATCTGCTTGCATGTGGTTAAAACATTCGCTGACTGATGTGTAAAGTGAGGTGATTGGACATACTTTCAGTAAATAATATGGTTCACCTGTATAACCAAATGTGTTATGGCAATAATGTTTAAAGTTTCAAGTTAGTTTTGGTTCTTTAAGATGTGGGTAATATTCAGGCAGAATCTCAGAATGGATCATTTTCATTCACGTTATATATTGACACATAGAGAAATCTTAAAAACAACATTTTTATCATTAAAAAAATTCTTCAGTAACATATCTATACATATATTTACAGCAGTTTTTTAATACAGTAAAACAATATGATGCCCTTTTGCAAATCAGGTGAAACTTAATGCTACAGGAAAAATCACTGAATAGTGCATGATTAGGCAGTATTTACAGTTCAGTTCTATGGAGACTTAACTTAGTTTTAACAGTGCAATTTTGCATATCCTCTATGCAAAAGAAGGTATTACTGCTTAATTACTATTGTAATTTTATTTCAATACTGTTTCCCAAAGTGCTTATACAATCTTTTTATTCTTCTTTATCTACACACATCCAAGAGTGACCAGATGTCAACAAATTAAAAGTGAGGTATAATTGTTAAGTTAATGCTAAGGGGTAGCATGTGATTTTAATATATGTGGCTTTAAAAATGCAGGTTAAAGTTTTTTTTTGTTTTTTTATACATTTGAAGATTTGAAGATAAGATTTTCCTTGTGTCTTATAAATTGAAGATAAAGTTTGTTTTTAATTTTTTTTCTGCTCTTATCGTTACATTTTTCATTCCCAGTGACAATTGAGGCTGTTGTTACCTGTCATTGTTAGTCTGTATCTGTTCGATACTTATCTTTGGTTTTCTTGTGAGACTCATGTGTAGGTTGTGAGACATTAGCTTAATATGTGCAGCGTGGGAGGGGGGTAAAAACTGCTATGGACATAAAATGGTACACCTGGTCACCCCCAATATGTACTCCTTGCTGTTGTTGGCCTTCTTAAAACTGTGTGTTCATAATTCGTTTCATAGTGTCAGGTTTTCGACTGGCGAACGTCTGTCCACTCCATTTTGGTGTTTTGAAGCGCCTGCGTCTTCTTCTCATCCACCTGCACGTAATCCACTCTGTACTCATCGGACAGGAATGGCTTCTGCTAGACATCGAGAGGGAGAGATAAGCAGACAGTGACGTCACATTTTTAACAGTGATACAATTCTGCTTCACCTGCACAAACATTTAAACTATCAATGCTCCACAGGGTACAGTAGAAGTCTTGCTGTGCAGTTGTTGTCATTTGTCAAATAAAAATAAAGATAAAAATAAAGCCAAATAAAAGCATACTTTCAGCACAGGAGAGGGGGTTGCTGAATTGAAATCCAGTGACAAATAGTCAAGATTTGAACTTCTCGCCCAGGGCTGAACTGGCCCATCAAAGAACTGCTGCCTTGATTCCTGTGAGAAAAAACAAATCATAAAGGCTTCGGAAAAACATTGTATGTTTCTGACATATTTACAATCCTAAAGGAACATCAGTCAACAGCAGGTCAGCTTCACTAGTGTCTTATTTTCATTAAATATGTCACTAAACAAAAGCAAAGTGACCTCTGTTCATTTTCAGATTGAGTTTAAGAACACGTCGGAAGCTATATGTGTCTAGAGACACTATGCATGACTAATGTGACTTTTTCAAGGCTTTATTCAGGGAAAATAAAGTAAATATGCACATTTTCCAGACCATGAACAATTACAAGTAGCTGAGAAGAATATTTTGGAAATTGGTAGTCACTTTCCACTCCCACATTCTTCAGCTGTGTGAGTTCTGAGCATATTTTCCCACTCACAAATGGTTCTATAATAAGACAGTGACAGATTGAGTCTTTTTTGTAGTCTTCCCTAAGCATTCTCTAAACCATAGATAGAAAAATAATATTAAAAAAAATAATTCTACATATGTTTCCACTGAATAGAAATCCTACCATTGCAGAGGAGCTTGTGACTTCATCTCTTAATTTCTCCCCATTCTCAAGTCGTCTTTCAAGAGGTGAAGGGTTCACTGAAAAGCTGTGAAGAAAGGAAAGGAAACAGTTATTTACTTTCAAATTAAAAGGAGAAAATACAGAGAATCCTGAGGTTTAAAAAACATCCCTAGCCAAATGTATTCTTAAAAAACAAGGCCCAAAGCCTAACTGCAATTTTATTAACCCGATCGTGTGCTTGTTCTTGTTTCTATAACTCGACACAAACGTTTGTAGACAAAGAGACTTTCTGCTCACCATGAGTCGATCAGCGCTCTGCTCAAAGGGAGATGCGTGGGACATTCTGTGATTGTAGAAAGGCCACTCAGATCAAGAGGTGGGGGTCGAGCTGTGGAGCGAGAAAAGGTCAGCATTATCAGATTGGCTGCAATTCTCTAACACGGCACAGAAAGGCTATGTCGGAGATCAGTGTTTCTGATACAGGTGCTGTATATCTGTCAGACATGTTCCTTGCATAGATCTGTGACTATGAGAGCGCACAAAGCATAATTTTTAATTAAGCTGTAGACATTAAAGTTTACAGAAAACATTCAATGGAAAAATAAATCTTGAAAACATCTAGCCAAAGATGAAACAAACATTTAGTACTTTCCCAAACATTCAGGCTGGACTCTCACCTTTCCTTATGCGAGGTTTTAGATGCCGGTGAATCGGAGGTGGTGCAATAGCACTAAGTTGACTCATTAGTGGGCTGAAAGATGCAGACGGTTCAATGCTGTAGGTTGTATTGAGGAAGCTTAATGTCCTTGGGCTCATGGGGATGTAACCATCAGACTCCACGGTCGCAAGAGAAGGAGAAGGCGAAGGGGAAGCCATAGGAACATATGACTCATCCTGGTAGTTTTGAAGGTTTGTGCTATTTAAACAAGGCTGCAAAAACATAAAGCATCATATGATCAGGCACGTGCGCTACATCAAATATATTATTATATTACAGCTGGAACATTTGTTAATTCCAGACTTGTTACATGCTTGGGGCATTTTTCAAACTATTTTCATTACATGTTTTTATTAATAGAGAAAGGGGGATTGTCATTTTAGCAAATGCAATCACTGTATTGTTAGAAGAGAATCATGTCATAAATATGAAGCTAACTTAGCTTAGCCAGGTTGATTTGTTTAGTAACAACTTGTAGTGAGACTACTATACTCGTGCAGCCAATCTAAAGGTAGCTGATGTCATTGACTTCATATAGGCAGAAACATAGTGTCTGAAAGTAAACTGATTGTAAAAAAAAACCAAACAAACAGGTAATAGTGGAAATTTAATTCACAATAATGTGATTTGTAGGTAGCTTTGAATGTGTAATAACTGCTGCTGCTGACATACGATGACCTAGATAATTTTGTTCTTAGTAAGCCTGATAACAAATCAGACGCTACATGATTGTGCTAATTTTGACTTGAAAGAAAGACTATGTCACACTCATGCTAACCTGAGTTAACTTAAAGCTCGCTGAGGCTTCCTGTTTATCCTATGGACATGAAATAGGTGTCAATTTTCTTATCTAACACTTTCTTGAAAAACAAAAAGTGTGCATCAAAATAAAAGTGTGTCACTGTTCTTACCAAATTAATACTTTGTCTCCTTATCTGCATACATTTGCTCTCGGCATTTCCTAAAAAACAAACAAATAAACCAAAGAATTATGTCTTTTAACTTCTTTAAAAAACTCTTTTAAGATCAGCTGATATGCGTATGAATCAAAAAGCATCCTGATCATATTTCCACCAGGTTTATGTTTCACTGAGCCAGGATCATCTTCTATACTGTGCATTAGGATTTACCCAATTTGAAATGGTCCAGGCTCGACAAAGAGGTCCTCCGGGGGAAAAATCCAGCATTGCTCGAGAAATGGCGCACACTCATTGCCCTCGTCCTTTGAAGGCCTTCGTCGCTTGCGTACTCTGACAGGTGATTAGGCTTGGGTGGCAGTGGAGGGGGTGTTAGTTTATCACCCGTCGCCTCAAACATCGCAGGAGAATGTGGTTTGTCGAACTGGAAGACACTTGTGGCGCAGTGATGTAGTGGAGAGGAAGACGATGAGGGCAAAGCTATGGAGGTGCATGGAGCGCTGAATGGAGGGTTGCTTAGCCTCCCATGGGGGAAAAGAGATGGACTGGGACTAGTGTGGGAGATTGAGGATAAAGAAGAATCGGTGCAGATGTCCTTGACGGCATCGTCTGATGACTTCTGTTCCAGAGAGATCTCGGAGTTTGAAAAGCTGTTGTGTCTGCAGATAAGGACAAAAAATGCAAATATCACATTTGTTACACACACCACACTGCTATGATTTCAGCTTGTGGGACATGTTGCACACACTGTACATACCGACTAGTGATCACACTCCCCGTCTCACACTGGGAGAGAAAGAGGTAGTCCGGTGGATAGCTGGAATCTTGTTGGCTTTCTACAGATGCTCTATCAGAGCTGTCAGGTGACAGCTGAAGGGAGGTGGGAGTGTGAGGAAAGCTTTCCTCTGAGCTCTCTGTTGACAACAAGCAGAAAGAAACACAGAGAATGTAAGTGAGCAAGTGCAAAGCCAAAAGATGCAAACGTTCCCTGCCTGCACTCACTCTTCATATTCTGCATTTACATATGAAGTGGTATTTATATTGCAAGAAACTTGAAAGCAGATATGTCTTCTGTTTATATATCCCCTCATTCTTTCAGGCAGGTTGGCCCTTGTTCAGAAATTTGTTTCATTCCATTTCACTCAAGGCCCCCCTCAAGTCAAGGCCGTTCCCGCAGCACTAATCCATCTTTGGATGTTCTCATGAAATATTTGCTATTAGATATTTGTGTCCTACTGTGGGCACAGAGCAACCTTTTAAAAGCCTTTGCAAAAGTTATGAGTTGCTGCAAAGAGCTCTCGAGATCTAAGGTCTACTGCTGCCGTCCAGAATTCTCAGTAAAAATCTTTGTGCAACAGTAATTGTGCGCCACAACTCACAACTCCATTTTTTGATTTACAAGCTTGTGGCATATCGGCAAAAGTTGTGCCGTTGCTCTATCTCCTTCATGCAGATGACAGCTTTTTAACAGACGCACGCTGAAGTCTCCTCCACAAAAATGACACTTGAAGCAAGGGCAGAATCAGCAGCGTGATGATGGTAAAGTGTCGATGTGTTAGATTCAAAAAATCGAATTACACCCCAAAGCATGGAGGTGACACAAAAGTGCCATGTGCTCATTTGAATGTAATGTTGAGCTGTTCTTATCTCCTCAGATCCAGAAGCGGCGTTAGGCTGCGTGACAGGGAGTATGCAGAACTGCAACACTTATGACCGCTGGAAACACACATGCAGACAACAGCCAGGCTCCTGATAAAACGTGAGGTCAGGCTTTATCTAAACTGTGTACACAGCTTCACCAGAACTTTTATTTGAATTTATTTCCATTGCGCGTGTGTGTGTGTGTGTGTGTAGACAAACTGTAGTCAAAATATTTACATATTTCAAATGATAAAAGGGGAAAAATACAGCAATGTTTCCTTGTTGTTGTTGTCCAGGTATGAAATGGTGCTAATCACATGTAGTGACACGATTGTGAAAATGTTTCTGAAGTTCAAACTTGTAAGGTCATACAACCAACCTGGGACAACCACAGTATTGTGGTACCCTTGCTGTGTTCTATAGTTTCTCATTTTGAAGACTTTCAAGCTCATCCAATGCTTTCAAAGCCACCAATCCAACCTCAATGGTACTTCAGAATTACAATTAACTTAAAATCTAGATCTAAAATCTGCCTTCCTTGGGTATATTTAAAATGTGTTGTTTTTTTTTTTAATCTTAAAGGGAACAGGGAAATAAATCTTGTACAAACAGCATGGTTGAGAGTAACCTGATTGTAAACCTGAAGAATTTACTGCAGATTTGCAGTTTTGTTTTTTTTTACAGTTGTCAGTAAGGTGCAGTCTTACACTTGATGCCTCAGTTAGCATGGGAAACGAAAATCATGAAGCTCCAAACAAACAGTTTGTTCTGACCTCATAAAACACCCCACTTCCTGAGTGGTGACACCAATTTGTTTTGGACCAGCAGAGGGAGTCTACACGATTACTTCAGTGCAGCAGCGTCTTTCGACATGTTTACCTGCATCCTCCAGGCTCCCAAACTGGCAAATCTGACCAATGCTGCTGATCCAGCTGTTCATCTCCTCCTCGGTTTTGGCCACCAGGTAGAAAACACGAGATGAGGTCTTTACCACGAAGAGGTGCTTGCCGTGAAAGTCCCTCTTTATCCGCAGTTGCCCTTCCAGCATTTCCACCACGCACTCTTTCAGGTCAATGGTACGGATTGGCTTTTTGGAGTTATTGCTCTGATAGTATTCCAGCACATCTGGATCACCGCTCATGCGACCTCTTCGAAGCACAAACCAACGTTTCCTCCATGCCTGCAGGTGCAAGAAAGAAGGTTTAATGGCCTTGCTCTTGAATTTAAATTTCACCCAATATTATGACTCACTTTAAGTACAGTGCTTCATAATTCAAACTGTAGCATCAGCCTTTCCCGCCAATTGTGCTAATCACGAGAATTTGATCATGGCCTCGCTAACAGCAACCAGCTAACTAAGTTTCTTTGCCTTTGTTATGGTCAGTAAGCGGAACCTCAACTCAAATTTCCCAGAAGTGCAGAGAAGAGGAAGTTCACTGTATTTAGCAGAAAATGTCTAACAGAATGAAAGAGGTATTTATAAAGAGCCTGGTCACTTCTTTGTGCTGAAAACTAACTGAAAACCTAACACTGAAACTGCACTAAAAGGTATTTATAGCTACTCACAATGAGCACCGCCTAAGCCCTCTATTCCAACCGAGTTTCATCCTAGCCATGGAGCTGTTACAGTTCAATAATAATAATTAATAAGAATCACGTTAAGAATAATAAAGGTGTGTGTGATGTTATCGTTTCACTCTTGGTTTTTGTGGCTTCGTTGTTGTGGCTGAGTCTCTTCTGATTCTCTTCAAGGCTTGAAATTGTGTAACATTTCTTTCTGTGTGTAACAAATGCTCTCCTGCAACAAGTCAGTTGGTGATTTATGTGTTCATTCCAGGAAATGGTTAGACACACACAGACTTATTGCCTAAAAAACACTACTAAGCTTAAGAGGAAACCGTAACTAGACAGATGGCAATTTTGATCCTGTAGATGTTCTGAAAATGAAAAGTTTCGCACTCCTAAAAAGGAGTTGGTTTGTGTATGCAGGTTCGTTTAATGGCAGATGGTGAGTGTAGAAGCCAATCAATAGATTCTGTATATTCTGATGAAATCAGGTTTTACCCCCTAATTAAACATGGACCTCCTTGCTTTTCTTTACCGTAGGCTAAGGCCAATAGTTTATCTCCAAATTGTAGATACTGTATGTCTGTTTAATTTGAAAAAAAGAAAAACGTCGCAAGTCCGACACTGATCTGAAACTCACAAACAAGCTTGTTTTCTGTGTTTTTAAAGTTTCAACCACATCAGATGCAGCTTCCTTATCTTCTGTCACGTGAGGTTAGTTCGAAACTCTGGTCACATGGGTAACGGTTGGTCAGCAGTGGTGACAAATGAGTAACTTGTCCTTGTTGAGATTATTTGTCGCGATTATTTTGTGACTCCCACAACAGAAAGCCCCAAACCATAATTAATAATTAGTGGTTCTGGCTCTGGCTGTTCCACCAAAGCCAGAACTCAAAGACTGGAGGAGCTAAATGGAATTCAGCCATTTTTAATTACATTCTTTACACCCCTGTATCTGTTTGTGACAGGTCAAAGTGTTTTCAGCCAAGAAGTGGCTTAATATGAAGACAAGTGAGATTTATGGTATTTTCTACTTGTAGTATATCAATATTTTAAGTTTAATTGGTATTTTGATTATGTCCCCCCACCTTTTCTTCATTTAAAGGAAAACAAGGTGTGAAATCCTGGAATCAGACACTGTGATAGCAGCAATGTAACAAACATCTGATAGCGCTGCATGTGTATATCTGAGTAAACAAAATACAGACTACTGCTCCACTTCATCACACACACTGATGGACTGCAAACTGCATTTCCAGAAAGTGGAAACACAATGTTGACAGAGCTCCTTCCAGCGAAGTGTATATCTAGCAACACAATCAAACCAACACCTTAGTTCACTACCACAGCCCCTTGCTCCTTCAGTCTTGTCGGGATGTTACTTACAAAGATAAATTTGACCCAGATAATTACAAATTTTCATACAGGCAAGACCAGAGCCTGATATTTTGAATAAGGCAAACAGTGAGTGTACCAGTCTATACAACTGTGGATTTGCATGTCATGCTAAAATAAGTTTCTATTTCCCATCCCAACACTGTCAACACACATACACGCATGCAAACCCCCCCTCCCACACCGCAAAAAACCCAATACACACACACCCTTTCCTTACACCGCTGTTGACAAATGGCCCTCCACCTCCTCTATTCGTACAGAGGAAGTACATACAGCCATCATCGAGCTGGACTATTTCTGCTTGTCGCTTAAGTGTCTGACTGCCCCTGACATTACTTCCCATGTTTCACAACACACAGACGCACAGAGCGCAGAGCAAGTGGCCAGCCTGACACTATCACATGACCCCTCACAACCACAAAACAGTCAAGGCTGGATGCTGTTTATGTAAGCTATTACATATACTCGCTGCAAGGACTCACGTCCGAATGTGTCTGAAGCACATCTGCGGTGAGTGGGGTATTGTTGCTAAAGCACATGACTGCTATAACTACGCCAACACGCAAAAGTAAAGTGACCTGTACCAGAGATGAGGAAGGTGATATAAAGGAGACCGAGACAAGGAAAACATACAAGGCAGTGTATCTCTAAATCTTAATTCTACATCGCAGCACACACACATAAACACACATAAACACACATACACACACACACACATAAACACAAGGCTCAGCACCACAGCCTGGCATTCGTCCTCCTGGCAGAGGACACAGACAAGTGTCCGATGTGTGCTCCTACTCACAAATCTCTTCAGTTTCTTCTCCGGAGGGGATTTAATGAGCCAGCCTTTACAGACCACATCCCCAGCACTCATCTTGGCTGCAGTGTGTCGTCCTCACGGCTGCTCCTGCCGCTGCTGCTGCTGCTGTTGCTGCTGCTGCTGCCGTGAAACTGAGAGTAAAGCATATCCTGTTCTGGTATTCAGCTCAGCCACTCCAAAAAGGAGGAAGTAAAGAAATTGATCACACTGACGCTGAGAGAGAGAGAGAAAGAGCGCAGAGAGAGAGAGAGAGAGAGAGAGAGTTATGCATGTACTGGATGTAGCTCTTGGCCTGAGGGGGAGTTAATGAAGAGAAAAACACTGTCAGACAAGATCTGACAGATATGAGGATTTAGACTCGCTGACTGGTGACATACAATATGTCGCCATGTCACATTCTATTATAAGACCTGCAGTTCAAACATCAGTGATTTGGTTTTTTTTCTGTTGATTTGTCAGTTTCCTCATGTGGCTGAGGTTTCTGAGCTCCACTGAAATACATAGTGGTTTTCAGTGAACCAATGAAAACACTAAACTCCTGCCCTACTTGAGGCTTAACGATAAATTTAAAAAAAAAAACAACTAATTTACATGCGAGCTTCGAGAAAAATCTTGGTGGTGATTACTAGTAGAACGACTATAACAGCTATTATTTCTCTGTTTGCTTTTCTATCCAGGCCTAGGAAGCTGTTTACATTTAGTTCTGAACAGGTTTTAAATGCAAACCATCTTGGGTCTTAGGTTGTTCATGGTAGGAAAGGTCACGAAAGCTAATTTGCACACTCGTAAGAGCACTGAAAACTGGGTGTAGCAATGTTTTCAAGCATTTATGGAAGTTGTGCATGTTTGCTATTCAGTTTGTTATAGTTGACAAGACCAATAAAGTTCTAATATTAATAAATAATAACATCTATAAATGTCTAAATAACCTGACACACTCCTTAAAGGTGCTCAGTGGCATGGTGGTAAATTCCACCATGCCAAGTGTCTCAGAGCACATTGAAACAAGATTCTGCTTGCCCATTCCTCTGAACCTAAATGGAATATCAAACTGCATATAGAAAGGGATCTGTTATATAGTCATATCCGTAGCTCTTGTCTTTAATTTTAATGCTGTGATTATTGCTTTAAAAAAAAAGTTTTATATTGAAGGTGTTGTTGTTGTTGTTGCAAAACATGCAACAGTTACCGTTTCCTGTTACTTGTGTGGTAATTTCCTTTGGTTCATTACGAAATTCCTCTGAATTCAGGCCATCATTTTCCTTACTGCTTCTTCATAATACTTAAAATACATAGTTAATATATTGTAAGTGCAAAGTATATTGTCCTTTCTTTTAAAATACTCGATATAGCTCATCACCTTAAATACTTACATCATAATTTGTTTCTTCCTTTCTTAACTGCATCTCCTTTCTTCTTACCGTATCTACATTTTAAGTTTTATCAGAAACTGGTGAGTAATTTTATGTAGGCAAACCTGTATTCCATAAAATAACATGCTAAATATTAGGAAACTGCAGATTAAGTTGCAGGCTGGCAAGTGCCAGCATATCTTCTAATTTAGTTTTTGTGTATTTGCATATAAATACATAAATGTCATTACACGCTAGCTTAGGCTTTAAATTTGTGTGGTAGTGTCACGTACTTCTGCACAAAAAAACTGTGAAGAAGAACTGGTGGTGGTGAAAATACTGCTGATAGGCATGGTAGTGTAAAAGTAAGACACATACAGCTGCTGCTGCTGGTGGTAGGAGCAGTATATATTCAGAAGGCCTCTATTTTGAATGAAATGTTCTAACTTAAAAGTCATTATCGGTGACTTCATCATATAAACGTTAAACACATCAGATAGAGATGCTTCTGAAGTACAGATGTGCAACTCACCACGAAATTATCTTTTATCATACTAGGGAAGTTGTTGTTTTTTTCTTTCTTTAATCTTCTCTTGCCAAAAGAACAACCCACCACGACCTCACCCTTTATCTTTCTTTCTCTAAAAGGAAGTACATTAATCCTTATTATCTGACTAAAAGTTACTTCTTATCACAAATTTTGAATATAAATTTTCTAAATCACTATTATGCAGATGATGGCTGACAATAGC